ACTATTCTGATCTGTCAGACACTTACTTCCTGTTTGCTGATACTTCATTTTTGTCAAGCCTGCGACATCTGTTGCAGAAAACCCGACATAGGGATAGTGATCCAGTGGCAGCGGCGTTAACTAACTACTTAAAAGCTTCATATTTTATAAGGTGGAAGACCTGGATGCTTCTTACTTTGTATATAGATGCCTTATCTTATGAAGTTTCCGTCTGTCATATGTCCATTGTTCTTGACCTCATTTTCATGGTTCAGTGACTACTTGAAAAAAAAGTTAAGATTTTTTGTACTGTTAATTTCTCTCTTACTACGAGTAATAGGATAACTATATTTAGTATGTGCATACCTTGGAAGGTCCTCGTGCCTGTCAGACAGTTTTCATATGACCTCGACCTCATTTCATGCAACAGTGAACAAGTTTAAGTTTTCGTGGTCAAGTCCATATATCAGATACTATAAGCAATAGGTCTACTATATTTGGTGTATGGAATGATTGTAAGGTGTACATGTCCAACTTGCAGGTGTCATCTGACCTTGACCTCATTTTCATGGTTCAGTAGTTAAAGTTAAGTTTTTGTGTTTTGGTCTGTTTTTCTTGAACTATAAGCAATAGGTCAACTATATTTGGTGTATGGAATGATTGTAAGGTGTATATGTCTGTTTGGCAGGTATCGTCTGACCTTGACCTCATTTTCATGGTATAGGTCAACTATATTTAATGCATAGATTGATTGTAAAGTGTACATGTCTGTCTGGCATGGTTCATTTGACCTTGACCTTATTTTCATGGTTCATTGGTCAATGTTCAGTTTTCCTGGTTAAGTTTGTTTCTTAGAAACTATAAGCAATAGGTCAACTATATTTTGTGTATGGAATGATTGTAAGGCATACATGTATTTCCCGTTTGGTTTATCTGACCTTGACCTCATTTTCTTGGATCATGTTAAGTTTATGTGATTCTTGTAGTAAAGCTTTATATTTAGGACTATCAACATAAAATCAATGGTCAGTAAAGCAGGCGAGACATTTCAGTGTGTGCACTCTTGTTCAATATATTGATTAAAACGTTTTAAGTCCAGTAGAACCGTTCTACCTAGTTTTCTGTTGGATTCCCTTCAAACTGTATGAGGATTAACTCTTTTTAAAATCTTAATGAGTTGGATTATCAGAAAAATCATTAAAAGTAAACATTTTTCCAGAAGGTAACATTTTATTCAGGGTTTGAGAGCAAGTGAGTTTGCTCATTAATGTTCTGAAATTCTTTAGAAAGAAGTGTCTGCTAACATCCTCTAGGGATGACAGATGTCAACCCGACAAATTGAAATTTTAAAATTATAATTGGCATAAGATTACTTTATACTAGATTACCAAAATCTTTTAGTCTTAAACATAGAGAGGTATACCTAGAACTGTGGAAGTATGATATATATAGATATTTCTGTGTTAGCATGCTAAAACTACCAAAATGAAATTTTATATATCACCAATTATTCATCTACATTGGGGGCCTCATTGGCTGAGTGGTTTAAATAGTCAAACTACTTTATCACTAGCCAGTCAACACTGTGGTTGTGATTTTGAATCCAGCATGTGCCAGATGTGTTTTACAATCTTAATTAACTAAGGTTTAATAGTTTTTGTCTGGCCTGCGACGAAAGTTGCAGTATGCAAGACATAGGTATTACTATCCAGCGGCAGCGTAAACTATTTGTATAAAGCTTTATATTACAGAAGGTAGAAGACCTCTATACTTCATATCTTGTATGCAGATACCTAATGTTACGAAGTTTTGGTCTGTCATATGTCCATTGTCCTTGACCTCCTTTTCATGGTTCAGCGACTGCTTGAAAAAAAAATTGAAATTTTTTGTCATGTGATTTTCTCACTTATTATGAGGAATAGGATAACTGTATTTGTTATGTGGGTTCCTTGTCTGTTAGACAGGGTTCACTTGACCCCGACCTCATTTCATGGATCAGGTTAATGTTACGTGATTAGATTTGTTTCTCAAATACTATAAGCAGTATGTCAACTATATGTGGTGTATGGAATGATTGTAATAGGTACATGTCAGTCTGGCTGGTTTCATCTAACATTGACCTCATTTTCATGGTTCATTGGTTAATGTTAAGTTTTTGTGTTTTGGTCTGTTTTTCAAGTACTAAAGCAATAGGTCAACTATATGTGGTGTATGGAATGATTGTAAGGTAAACATGTCTGTCTGGCAGGTATCATCTGACCTTGACCTCATGTTTTTGGTTGATTGGTCAATGTTAAGTCTTTGTGTTTTGGTCTTTTTTTCAAATACTAACAGCAATAGGTCAGCAATATTTGGTGTATGGAATAATTGTAAGGTGCACATGTATGTCTGGCAGTTATAATCTGACCTTGATCTCATTTTCATGGTTCATTGGTCAATGTTAAGTTTTTATACGACCGCAAAAATTAAAAAATTTTTGGTCGTATATTGGTATGACGTTGGCGTCGTCGTCGTCCGAAGACACATTGGTTTTCGCACTCTAACTTTAGTTTAAGTGAATGGATCTCCATGAAATTTTACCATAAGGTTCAATACCACGAAAGGAAGGTTGGGTAATGGTACCAACAGTTAAGGAATTAGGGGCCAAAAAGGGGTCAAAAATAAGCATTTTTGTAACTTCCAGACAAAAACTTGTGTGTAAGTGTATGGATCTCTCTGACATTGTACCACAAGGTTCCATATCACAAAGGGAAGGCTGTAATTGATTTTGGGGGTAATTGCCTCAAAATTTTAGGAATTAGGGGCAAAAAAAGGGGCAAAAAACAAGCATTTTTCTAGTTTAATGACAATAACTTGTGTGTAAGCGTATGGATCTTTCTGAAATTGTACTACAAGGTTCCATATCACAAAGGGAAAGCTGGAATTGAGTTTGGGGGTAATTGCCCGAAACGTTTAGGAATTGGGGGCCAAAAAGGGGCCAAAAATAAGCATTTTTCTAGTTTCCAGACAATAAATTGTGTTCAAGTGTATGGATCTTTCTGAAATTGTACTGCAAGGTACCATACCACAAAGGGAAGGCTGGGATTGAGTTTGGGGGTGATGAATCATAAGGGGGTTCAAAAAATTTGGGGGGGGGATTTTTTTTTTTTCTTTTTTTCCTTTTTTTTTTCTTTTAAAATTTTCCATTTTGAGTTGGTTATTTCTGATTAATATTTAAAAGCAAATAATAATGATATGGTAGGAGATACACATCAAACAGGATGTGTAAATTATTATATAATAAGTATTGTGCAATAGCAAGAAATTTTCAATTGCACAGTATTGCACAATAGCAAGAAATCTTCAATTGCACAGTATTGCGCAATAGCAAGAAATCTTCAATTGCACAGTATTGCGCAATAGCAAGAAATATCCAATAGCACAATATTGCGCAATAGCAAGAAATTGTCAATTGTACAGCATTGCGCAATAGCAAGAAATATTCAATTGCACAGTATTGTGCAAAAGAAGATACTTCGTATAAATTGCTTATTTCTTGATCAATTTCAATGGGGTTTTATTCTTGAATTCTTGGGGTTCTTTAATATGCTGAATCTAACCGTGTATTAAGTTTTTGGATTTTGGGCCCCGTTTTTAAATTGGCCCACATTGAGGTCCAAAGGGTCCAAAATTTAACTTTGTTTGATTTCATCAAAAATTGAATTATTGGGGTTCTTTGATATGCCGAATCTAACCGTGTATTTAGATTCTTAATTTTTGGTTCCGTTTTCAAATTGGTCTACATTAAGGTCCAAAGGGTCAAAAATTAAACTTAGTTTGATTTTAACAAAAATTGAATTTTTAGGGTTCTTTGATATGCTGAATCTAAACATGTATTTAGATTTTTGATTATGGGCCCAGTTTTCAAGTTGGTCCAAATTGGGGTCCAAAATTAAACTTTGTTTGATTTCAACAAAAATTGAATATATGGGGTTCTTTGATATGCTGAATCTAACCATGTATTTAGATTTTTGATTTTTGGGCCCTGTTATCGACTTTGTCCACATTGAGGTCAAAAGGGTCCAAAATTAAACTTTGTTTGATTTCATCAAAAATTGAATTCTTGGGGTTCTTTGATATGCTGAATCTAACCATGTATTTAGATTTTTGATTTTTGGGCCCAGTTATCAACTTTGTCCACATTGAGGTCAAAAGGGTCCAAAATTAAACTTTGTTTGATTTCATCAAAAATTGAATTCTTGGGGTTCTTTGATATGCTGAATCTAACCATGTATTTAGATTTTGGATATTGGACCATAATAGGTGAATGTCCAATTTAAAATTTTTAAGTTCTTAGACCACATTCATTCTGTGTCAGAAACCTATGCTGTGTCAAATATTTAATCACAATCCAAATTCAGTGTGTATCAAGCTTGAATGTTGTGTCCATACTTGCCCCAACTGTTCAGGGTTCGACCTCTGAGGTCGTATCAAGCTGCGCCCTGCGGAGCATTTTATTGTGTTTTGGTCTGTTTTTCAATTATCATAAGCAATAGGTCAGCTATATTTGGTGTAAGGTGTATATGTCTGTCCGTCAGGATTTATATGACCTTGACCTCATGGTCATAGATCTTTAATGAAGTTTATGTGCTGCTTTTAGTAAGACCTTTATCTTTAAGACTTTCAACATAAAATCAATGGTCAGTAAAGCAGGAGAGACATTTCAGTGTGTGCACTCTTGTCTTACTTTGGTTCTCTCCGTGCACTATGGCTTCCTCCACTAATTAAAACTGACCAGCACGAAATAGCGCAAAAATGCTGAAAGTAGTGTTAAACACCAATCAATCAATCAATCCACTACATTGATTATGATACATATATTAGTTGTTTCTTTCAAAATAAATCTATAAAAGTACTGTATTAATATAACCATAAAGTCATGTGGGACAAACCATCTGTATTAGTATGCATAAGTTTATATCAATCAATCTATTGGAGACTTTTTTTTGCATTTATTATCTTGAATTTTTTTATCCTTTCAGCCAGAAAACTTATTATTAGCCAGTAAAGCCAAAGGAGCTGCAGTTAAATTAGCTGATTTTGGTCTAGCCATAGAAGTTCAGGGAGATCAACAAGCATGGTTTGGTAATACATTATACTATATAGAGTCATTTATCAACAAGCATGGTTTGGTAATACATTATACTATATAGAGTCATTTATCAACAAGCATGGTTTGGTAATTCATTATACTATATAGAGTCATTTATCAACAAGCATGGTTTGGTAATACATTATACTATATAGAGTCATTTATCAACAAGCATGGTTTGGTAATACATTATACTATACATGCTATATAGAGTCATTTATCAACAAGCATGGTTTGGTAATACATTATATTATGTAGAGTCATTTATCAACAAGCATGGTTTGGTAATACATTATACTATATAGAGTCATTTATCAACAAGCATGGTTTGGTAATACATAATACTATATAGAGTCATTTATCAACAAGCATGGTTTGGTAATACATTATACTATATAGAGTCATTTATCAACAAGCATGGTTTGGTAATACATTATACTATATAGAGTCACTTATCAACAAGCATGGTTTGGTAATACATTATACTATATAGAGTCATTTATCAACAAGCATGGTTTGGTAATACATTATACTATATAGAGTCACTTATCAACAAGCATGGTTTGGTAATACATTATACTATATAGAGTCATTTATCAACAAGCATGGTTTGGTAATACATTATACTATTCTGTTCTGTGGTCGGGTTGTTGTCTCTTTGACACATTCCCCATTTCCATTCTCAATTTTATCATTTATCAACAAGCATGGTTTGGTAATACATTATACTATATAGAGTCATTTATCAACAAGCATGGTTTGGTAATACATTATACTATATAAGAGTCATTTATCAACAAGCATGGTTTGGTAATACATTATACTATATACAGTCATTTTAATTTGGCAGTTTTTGGTGTGATAATATAAGTTATCTACGTTCATATCTGTAGATATGGATGTTTTAACACCCTGAAGTATCCAAGTACACCCTGTGGAGAAGCCGAAGGGTGTACAGGGTACTGAAGGGTGTTAAAATATCCATATCTACAGATATGAACGTAGATAATGAATTTATCCTCGGTCTTAGTCCAAATCTTGCGATTTTAAGAGAAATTCAACCACAAAATGTAACGTGAAAGCAGCGTTTTTTTCATTTTTTAAAAATCTTTTATTGTTATTTGGGAATTTGACGTATTTTTAACAGGATGTAGGGTACTACCTTTGGTAGTACCCTACAGGTAGTCAAATATAAGTTGTTTTTAATCCAGAGACAGAAACGGGAATGGGTCGAATTTGGCGCTCAGTGTTGTGAGGGTTACATCATAGACGGTGTGACGTCAATGTGGGTCATTTGCATAGCTAGGTCAGTAGTCCCATTCATTGACAATGTGGCAGCCAAGTGATGCATTTACTAAAATGAGTGCAAATGATCGACATAATAAGATAAAATCGTTAGTTGATTAAATATTTAATTACAGACATCATGGATAATCTACAGAATTCAATATTTCACAAGGAACAACCATGGAACTAAGGAAAACGTGCGTGATGTTCCCCGTTGTAATGGGTAGCAACGTTCGGGTATATGGGTTAGCAACACCCAGGGGCTATGGGTTTTGTAACGACGTGCGTTAACTAATCAAAATCCTAGAAATATACTAAGCCGGGGATAAATTTTTATACGACCGCAAAAAAATTGAGTTCGTATAATGCTATCATGTCCTCGTCGGCTTCGTCTGAAGACACATGTGGTTTCCGGACAATAACTTTTAGTTTTAAGTGAATGGATCTCTATGAAATTTTACCAGAAGGTTCAATACCACAAAAGGAAGGTTGGGATTGATTTTGGGGGTTAAGGTACCAACAGAGGAATTCGGGGCCAAAAAAAAAGCATTTTTGTAGTTTCTTGACAATAACTTGTGTGTAAGTGTATGGATCTCTCTGAAATTGTACCACAAGGTTCCATATCACAAAGGGAAGCCTAGTATTGAGTTTGGGGGTAATTGCCCCAAATGTTCAATAATTAGGGGCCAAAATCAAGTATTTTTGTAGTTTCTGGACAATAACTTGTGTGTAAGTGTATGGATCTCTCTGAAATTGTAATACAAGGTTCCATACCACAAAGGGAAGGCTGGGATTGAGTTTGGGGGTAATTTGCCCCAAAAGTTTAGAAATTAGGGGCTAAAAAGGGGCCATAAAGTTTATGGAACTCTCTGAAATTGTACATTTTTCCTGAAAAGAAAGTAATCTTCAAAATTTCAAAAAAAATTGGGGGGGGGGGGATTTTTTTCAAATTAATTTTTTGGGGGGGGATTTTGTTTCTCATAATTTTTGTTTTTTTTCCCCAAAAATTTTCCATTTTTACATTGATTATTTCTGATTTATATATAAAAGCAACAAATACTGCTGATATGGCAGGAGATACACATCAAAAAGAAATCTTCAATTGAAAATAAATACTAATCATTTAACCAATTTCAATGGGATTAATTTAAATTCTTTAATTTTTGGGGGTTCTAACCTTGTATTACTATTTTGGATATTGGGCCCCATTTTTAAATTGGTCTACATTGAGTTCCAGAGGGTCCAAAATTAAAACTTTGTTTGATTTCATCAAAAACTGAATTATTGGGGCTTTATGATATGCTGAATCTTATTGTGCATTTAGATTTTTTATTTTGGGCCCTGTTTTCAAATTAGTCCATATTAAAGTTTGAAGGGTCCAAAATTAAACTTTGTTTGATTTCAACTAAAATTAAATTTTTGGTGTTTTTTTATATGCTGAATCTAACCATGTTGTTAGATTTTGGATATCAGACCATAATAGGTAAATTAAATGTCCCATTTCAAATTTTTAAGATCTTTGACCACATTTATTTTGTGTCAGAAACCTATATTATGTCAAAAATTTGATCACAATCCAAATTCAGACAGTATCAAGCTTTAATATTGTGTCCAAACTTGCCCCAACTGTTCAGGGTTCGACCTCTGCAGTCGTATCAGGCTGCGCTTGGCGAAGCATTTTATTTAAAGATGCATGAATATCAAAATTTTGAAACAACAGAAGATAAAAAATACCTGCAAGTTATAATCATTCTAGAATAACTTGCTATCAATTTTGGTCATACGATTATTTGTGAAAAGAGCTGCTGATACTAGGCACAGTTTGTATTCACTGACTTTTAAGATCCCAAATATAGAAAGAGTGATAAAAAAAAAAAGAAAAAAAAGCCAAACATTAGTGTTGATGTAAAGATTTTTGCCTATTATGATTTAGATTCTGCTACTGATTATTTAAGAAATAGATATTTAACCATGTGCTGTAGATATTTACTCCCATTAGTATGGTATACCTGGACAATTTATATGCAATTAGTTCAAATAATATTATAGTTATTGGATTATTGAACATTTAACCAGATTTTGTAATAAGATAATTAAAATTGAAATAAAAAAGGATTTTTAATGAAGGAGGTTGTGCATGACTTGCAGTCATAAAACATTTTACAACCTGAATACAACAATTTTATATATGTAATGTCGGTATATTGCAGATACTAGGTATAATGAAGTTAATTCTGTCACCTGTCATTCATGGTTCCTGAATATTTTTCAATTAGTACATGAAATATTGGATTTGTCTTTGTATTGTTAGAGATTGGCTTACAGTTGTCCTTCTTTGTCAATAAAAGTTTATTTTATTTCTTAGAAAGGGTGATTGTTAGATGAGATCAATACAATAAGTGGTGGTTTATCATTCCACTTCATCATCTGGTTTATCATTCCATTTCATTGTCTGTCTGGTACATTACTTAGCAAAGCATCTCATTCAACAGAAATGTATAGTCTGTCATAGTCAACATTTTTGTAATTGATCTCTGATAACATTATTTAGTGAAGAATTGTAAACTGTTAAGTTTGTTTTCATCTTTTTATAACCCTGCTCGGGTAGGTTAACTGTTTTCCCCTGTCTGTCCGTCCCATGAAATTTCTGTCATATTTTTCTCTTGCAATACAAATCAGAGCCTTGAAATTTTATTTAAGGCTCTATGTGAGCATGGTATGCTGTGTTATGGTTGAAATTCAGCACTCATCACTTTCCTGTTTACTCAATACTTTATTGTTATATCACATAGTGTCCATGTTTGAAATTTTCGTGACAATTTTCTAGGAAAGTACAAATAATAGCTTCCTGTTATCAAGCTTCATGTGAACATGTCATACAGTTTAACATGGTTTCAGATTCATTGCTCATCAACTTCCTTTTTCATGGAATACTTATATATTCTAACACATAATTGCCATTTATGAAATTTTCATCACATTTATTTTATCGAACTACAAATAAGAGCTTCCTGAAATTTGTTATCAGGCTTCATATTGGCTTGTTATACAGTGTGATACATTTCACATCCATTGTTCTTGAAAATGCTGTTAAATGAATACTTAAAGAGGGGGTGTCGACTTGTCCCCCTGCACAACGTGTTGCGGGGGACATAGAAATACCGGGCATGTGAAACTTGTATCATAGGTTTATATCAGCAATGTCTTGGACGAAATTAGAAAAGCAGTGCCAGTGAATTATTTTTAAAAGAGTTTTGCCCCTTTGAAACATTATTATATAGAAAATTGCATCGTTAGCGCTCTCATGTGTACAATTCTTGCCAGATGTTTATGAAACTTATATCTTAGGTTTATATCAGCAATGTCTTAGACAAGTTCGAAAATCAGTGCCGATTAATTATTTTTAAAAGAGTTATGCCCCTTGGAAATATTGATTATATGGAAAATTGCATTGTTAGCGCTCTCATGTGTATATTTATTCCCAGAATTTTATGAAACTTATTTCATAGGTTAATATTAGAAATATTTTTGACACTTTAGATAATAAGTGCTGATCAAATATTTTTAACGAGCTATGCCCCTTGGAAATATTAATTATGACGGAAATCACATTGCATTTGCTCTGAAGCCTTTTCTCTTTGATATTTATAAAAAAGTGTTTTTTTATATGACCGCAAAAATTTTTTTGGGATCGTATGATGTTGTCGTCGTCCAAAGACACATTTGTTTCCGGACAATAACTTTAGTTAAAGTGAATGGATCTCTATGAAATTTTTTAAGAAGGTTCAATACCACAAAAGGAAGATTGGGATTGATTTTGGGGATGATGGTCCCAACCGTTTAGGAATTAGGGGCCCAAAACAAGCATTTTTCTAGTTTCAGGATAATAATTTGTGTATAAGTATTTTGATTGCTCTTAAATTGTACGACAATGTTTAATACCACAAGTAGAAGGTTGGGATTTATTTTAGGGGTTATGGGCCAACAGTTTAGGAATTAATGGCCAAAAAGGGGCCAAAAACAAGCATTTTTCTAGTTTCCAGACAATAACTTGTGTGTAAGTGTATAAATCTTTCTGACATTGTACCACAAGGATCCATATCACAAAGGGAAGGCTAGGATTGAGTTTGAGAATAATTGCCCAAATATGTAGGAATCTCAGGGGCCAAAAAAGGGCCAAAAACAAGCATTTTTCTAGTTTCCAGACAATAACTTGTGTTTAAGTGTATGTATCTCTCTGAAATTGTACTACAATGTTCCATACTACAAAGGAAAGGCTGTGATCGAGTTTTGGGGTTATTGCTCTAAGTGGGTTTCAAAAAGTTGGGGGGGGGGGGGGGGGGGGATTTTTTTTCCAATTTTTTTAGAGGATCAATATTTTTTTTTTTCAAAATTTTTCAAATTTTGAATTTTTGAAAAGTTTCAAGAAGAAATCTTCAATTGCACAGTATTGCGCAATAGATTTGTAAGATCTTTGACCACATTTATTTTGTGTCAGAAATCTAAATTATGTCAACAATTTGATCACAATCCAAATTCAGACAGTATCAAGCTTGAATATTGTGTCCAAATTTGTACCAACTGTTCAGGGTCTGACCTCTGCGGTCCTATCAGGCTGCGCTCAGCGAAGCATTTTATTAGTTATTGCCCTTGTATCTTGGATAAATAAAATATGTGCAACACAGGGGACATTGGAACTCTGTTCTTTAATTATTGTTTGCTTTAGATGAAATCATCGTATGCTTATTGCATAAAATTATTAAATAATTGCAGATTCTTACATGGTATTTTTCATATTGAGATTGGTATCAGCCCTAGAGCTTAAGCTTGAAGGTTAATACAAATGCCAATGTGAAAATTGACATGTTATAATCTATTTATCACATATTTTTACACATTGATTTTGTATTCTATATAATTAACATTTCTGGTATGACTATTAGGTAGTTATAATGGCCAATCCCTGTTTGATCGCAAAATAGCTTTGTTTTATTGAATTATCATCCATCTTTATTTTTTCAAAATTTTATATAACAAATAGATATAAGGAGATTTAATATTACGTAATGGTACCAACATCTCTGTTCTGTTAGTTTAGTTTGCCTTATATTGCAATGTACTGTAAATTCAGAAATTATTGCGTGTATTTATTATTGCGATTTCGTCATTTTAGACTAAAATGCGATTTTAATTTTTGCGATATTGAGAAAAATCCTGTTTAATTCATATAAAAAAATTCAAAATGCGAGTTTAAATTATTGCGAATATAACCCTGTCGCATTTTTCGCAATAATAAAAACATCGCAATAATTTCTGAATTTACAGTAGTTAAAAATCAGGACTTTCTAATACAAATAATGACATGTATTAATACAGTACTTCTGTTGGTTATGTATTGAGAAAACATTAAGATAGATACAGCCATTTAATGCCAAGATTTAGTAATAAACAGTTTTTCAAAAAGCATGTAATTGCAATTCAAAACCGTAGGTAAGAAAACAGACATTAGCTCTCTAATTTGAGGGCCAGTAACTATAACAGCAATCAAAATAGAACCGTTTTGTATTAATGTTCAGTCATTATCAAACATACCTATCATTTCTAATTATGAGATAAAAAGGATTAATAGAACATGGCCTGGATTCCATTTAAGCAATGTTAAGCAAAATGACAGGTTTCTGGTCAAAAATGTGTTTAGTAAATTATATTTACTTATTTTCATTTTTTATATGTACTTTTTTTACAATTTGTTCAGGTTTAGATATATTGGATATGATTTCTGTGTGTATATTAATGAAGTAAAAACTGGAAGAATATCACAAGGTATGAGTGTGACCAAAAGTTTTGAAAGGCAAAAATTTAAAACATTTGAAAGCATGAAAAACAAATGGTCATAAACAGAGCAGTTATAACTCTCTTAGGTAATCTTTACAGCACAAATTTCAGCACAATTAATTCATTATATGAATTAGAAAATTACAGCCGAAATGTACTTTGTATCATCAAAACATTCCAATGCCAAACCACAAGCTAATGTTAAGTGTATTTATAAATCAATATGTTTGTTTTATGTTATTTTAGGATTTGCTGGAACGCCTGGTTATTTATCACCAGAAGTTTTAAGAAAAGATCCATATGGCAAACCTGTAGATATTTGGGCTTGTGGTAAGTCTAGGTTCACTTTTTAGATACTGTCCACTTGTAAACAAAGATAATGTTATGTCATTTACCCTGTAAAACAAAGTCTTATGTTTATAACTCCCTCCCCTGCAAACAAAGTCATCAGCGAGTGGAATAATGAATTAACATGTTTAAGGGGAGATAATCTAATTTGTGTAACAGGTATATCAATTTTTGAGTTCTAGTTTTGATTATCTTTTGATATAAATTGTTCATTTGAAAATTATCTTAATTCAAAACATCATCACAATACATGTATAATCAAAATGAAAAGCCTTGATTAACTTATACCATTGATTAAAAAAATTAGTAGAGGATACAAGGTTTGTAAAAATCTTACTCCTTATAAGAAATAAGGAGATGAGGTATGATGATGATGGTTGCCAATGAGACAACTATCCACCAAAGTTCAAATAAAGTGGATATAAATAAATATAGGCAACCGTATGGCCTTCAACAATGAGAAAAACCCATGCAGTATAGTCGGCTCTAAAAGGCTCTAACATGAAAAGTGTGAAACAATTCAAACAAGAAAACTAATACCCTAATTTATAACAAAACAATTTACGAAATAAACAAATTTGACAAACATGAACCAACAACAACCACTAAGCTACAGGCTCGTGACCTGGGACAGGCACATGAAGAATGTGATGGTGTTAAAAATTGATTGTGAGCACTCTTCCCCCTTAAAAGTGTAAGAGAACTTACACAATCAAAATTTTGTATTCTTTTTTGCTTTGGCATAGATAACTGTAACAGTGTTACTTGATGATCAAATATCAAGCTTCTATCTTGAATGATATGAAAGAAGTTCTGGGACAATCAAATGTATGCGTTTGCACAACAAATACCAAAATATTAACCCCATCACTTTGTGGAACCTTGAGAATGAGTCCATGTGATATTTATTTTCTGACTGACATCTTTAAGTTCTACATGATACTTGAACATGTTATTGTGCCATATATGTATGTAATATTTGCCACTGTGACATTAGTAAACTATAAATCAATTTGAGACGGCTATCAAAATCAAAATAAAAATTAATTCTAAAATCATAATGCTTTATTATTTCAGGTGTGATATTATATATATTGTTAGTTGGTTATCCACCATTTTGGGATGAAGACCAACACAGATTATATGCTCAGATCAAAGCAGGTGCATATGATGTAAGTAACAGTTTTACGTTATTTTTGCCAAGATGTGAGTTGAAAATTTTCTCAAGGAAACATTTTAGCTAAATGCTTAAAGTACTCTTGTTAATTAATGCCAACTCATTTCATATGATATTCAGTCAAATATTCATCCTGAAACTCTTTGTAAATCTCTTTTACACCTGAAACCAGTTTAACAATAGTCTGCCCCAGGGCTTGAATAAAATTTTCATTTCCCGTTTCCCAGAGGAAGTAAAAATATGGAAGGTGACATTTTGATTGGTAATTTCCAGACGAGAGAGTTCAATTTGTAGTTATAATATAAACCAGTTTGCAACTCTTATTGATGAAATGTCAAACTACTTTTGTAAGATCATTCTTAGTGTTGTGTTTGTAAACTTTAACATGTTTACTTGTTAAGTGAAAAAGTATATTTAAACCAAACGCATTTGACTAACAGGTCGAACAACGGATGTTCTTAAACCCTGCTGACTGCCATTGGCGATTGCCAAATAAACGGATCACAAGATGTAACAAAATGGATCTTGATCATATATATATATATGACAAACATATGGTATTAAAACATGAATATCAGGAATTTCTCACCTCGTAGTCTGAAGGCACGACTATGTTTAAATTTGTGATTAGGTCAGTTTAAGGGTAATCACTATCAGGTAAATGATATTTGGTATGTTCCTTGTATAAGCATTGGCACAACTCATTTCTTTGTAGATTATTTTGCCCAGCCCCCTCAAGTCATGGTCTATTGACTTTGAAATTTTTGCTTAGTTAACAAATTAAAGTTTGTGATTAGATTATTTTAAGGGGAACCACTAATAGCAAATCAATAATATTTGATATGCAGTTGTATTAAGCATTGCCATTTCTAATTTCCACAGAGATTTTTGGCCTTGCACTGTCAGTCATGGTTCATTGACTTTGAATGGTTTGCATAGTTTACATCTTAAAGTATTGCAATTTTGATTTTAATATTTTCTAAATGTACTATCAAAATTATATATATATATATGAATTTATTGTTATAATGTCTTATTAATTTTAAAACAAAATTGAATATAAACTTTTTTTCCGAAAATTGGTTGTAGCCTGCACATGTCTGCAACTTTTTTAATGATGCTGGCAGGGCTTGAAAAACATACAATTATTGGAATGGTCTGATGGATTCAGTTTCAGATTACCTGTGTAACTATTTTTATTTCGATATTAAGGTAGAATGTTCTTCTGTCTGATTTCAGTACCCATCACCAGAATGGGATACAGTAACACCTGAAGCAAAGAATCTTATAAATAGTATGTTAACAGTCAATCCAGCAAAACGTATTACAGCACAAGAAGCTCTCAGACATCCTTGGATCTGCGTAAGTTGCAGTCGGATTTGTTTGGTTTTCCTTAGATATGATTTTATTCATTGACATAATTTTAAGCATTGGTTCCTTATACCATAGAAATATTGTTACTCCTTAGCTTGGTACTTTGTATAATTTAATGTCATATTTTGGTTGCTGTCAACTTGCAACAGAACATTGTTACTTAAGATGCCAACTGACACTTAAAGTTTCACTGTTGTTCTATGCACATTTTCTTAAAAGATTTCAATTTTTAAATTGAGGTACTCTCACACGATGAAAATCAAAAGGGGAGTTGTGAGAGTTACATAGTAAGACTATTGTCAAACATTTTATAAGTTTTAAGTCATAAATTAGTATGATTCTTAATTTTGCAGCCAGTGTTTCATGTATAAATCAATTAATTTGTTGCTGACTTATTAAGTTACAGTCATAGTTTGTTTTAACCATTATATTGAAACTCTGAATTAGTAGGTCCATCAAGATATTGATTTAAATCCGATTTATTCTTTCGATCTTCAAATGTTTAAAAGATCTGTTTTTATTGTAACTTCACTATTATGAGACCTTCAAGTAGAAAGATAGGTGAATTTGATCTAAAATAATATGTGGATATAAAATCACTTTTACTAAATGCCAATTTTCATTATAATGCAAATACCCTCCTTTATTATACAAATTCAAGGACCCTCCTTTATTATACAAATTCAAGGACCCTCCTTATATAGTATACTGAAGATAGGAAATTATATACATGTAAGAATAGTTAAATATACAAAAGATAAAAACAAATTATCAGTTATTTATCAGGGTAATCTATAAGTGTTGGATAGACACTTTTTGAGATAACATACATGTTACACTAAATAAGGTAAGATCTTTTGGTTCTTACTGTTGTAAAAGTTAACACAAGATATTCTTTTCATGACGTTTTTAGTAGAATTGATAGTTGCCTCTCTTTGTTCATGAGTTAAATTCAGTACAACTGCACTGTCAATTAAAACCAAAGATTTATTCACAATGATGAGGACAAAGTTCATTAAGATAGGGTTTACATTGTAATATTATAAAAGGCTGGTAATTGAATTTGAACAATGGTTTTAAAATGTATCTTTTGTCAATGTCATTCTACCTTTTTAAATTTAGTCTTAGTTCATTAAAGTCACAGCTATAGAAAATCTTATTTATATTGGTCACAACAATGGAAAAATCATAGTTAGTAATGAAAGTCTTTCTGGGATTTTATTTTTTGCATAGAAAAGTCTACCTGTTATGTGCATTGAATCTCCAATAAAGATCTACATCTTCAAAGGTCAAACTCTCCTTCATTCAACAAGATTTACTCCACTATTGCCAAACAATGGTTTTCCTTTTTATCTGTGTATAGTGATATCTGTTTTCATAGAAGATCTTAAGCCATTAGTCATAGTTATTTTATTAACTCCTCTTAATTTCAAACAAAATAAGTTTTTTCACACATTTTTTCCCCATGTTTTTATAAATGTTTGCTAAATCGTTTCAGATATTAGTATGCTTCAGATTATTGAAAAAGGTTGTCCCTCAAACCTCTTCAAAGAGATGTTATTACATAAAAAATCTTGTCCTTTCTTTGTAACAGGTATAAGAACCTTCTCTCAATGAAATCATTGTGCTTTATACACCTATCAGTCTGACTTCAATATAATGGTTAAAACTAGGACAGAAAGACCCTGAATACCAATTTACTGGTTAACCATTAAAGGGTACATCAGATAGACATGTATATATAACACAATAAGTCAGTTGTTATATAGCTGGCAATCAGTTGTGTTCTATACGTTAATAAACTTCATTGATGGGAATAATTTATTGCCTTCATTTGATATAAGAAAAAATATTTATTAAAAGTAATTTGAATAAGCTTTGAAATATAATTTTATAGCTGTTAATTTATATGTATGTTACTGTCAAGTCCAAACTCCATGAAATATCATACTATTAAAATTAAAGTACTGAGAAGTCCCTTTTCTTTAAATTTACACACTCATTCAATTTCAATTAAAGGGACTTATCTTTAAATGAATTTAAATTGTATTGTATTTCATGTAGTTTGGACTTGACAGTTTATATATACAAACTTGATTATCAATGAGCGTTGATTAAAAAATCTTATTAGAATCAGACAAACATTTGAACTGACAAAATACTTTTTATACCAATTAATGTTACAAGCATACCCGTATTCCAAAACAGTTTTTGCCTTACTTTATGATGAATGAATTATACTGTCAATGGTGCAAATCAGATGTGATATTCTTTTGTTCATAAAATCATCAAATTTAAGATACCTTTTAACTATATTTAAATGTTCAAAGCTTTAAATCAGTCCTTTGTGATTACCTGTATTGTAAAATAGTTAGTATAGATGAACCTATGATTTGACTTATGGATTGTTGTGGTAAAAGTTAAGTTCTGCATGAGATTAATTAGGGATATCAGCTGGATAAGTACTAACTTACTTTTTTTATTGAGTAATAGTCAAATTATATTTTATCTTATCTACCATTCCTGTAACTTATTTCAGTCAAATGATTCTCTTTTTTAAAAGAAACAAATAGACAATTTCAGACAGTGGAATGAATTTAGAAACTTTTTTCAAATTTTTACTTTTTTGTGATGACGATGTAAAATGAAATTGTATAATTCAAACTTTTGTAATACTCCTTGGAAAGGGGTAAACATTTTAAATAATAATGATTTAAGCCATGAAAATTAGGTGAAAGTTTCAAAGTTTGAATTTGGTGGTACATTTATTATGATAAGGGCTGTTCCAAAATTTATCATGTGAGGGGATGGGAGGGAGTCAAATTAATTAAATATGGGTGATTGCAATTCCTTAAAATTTTGTACAAGTAAAATGGAAATTTTTATTTTATGGGTGGTTAGAGTCTTAAGAAGGTGCATCTCATGCCCCCATGCTTTAAATTCTGGAACAAACCTAAGTTAGCTTTGATATTATATTCTCTTAACATGGAAATTTTTTTATAGGGGTTATTTTCGTTCTTTTCATGGTCATGTTAAATGTACAAAAATATCCCCTGCAAAAATCATCAATATTGATGTGACTGAAAATATTTACAGTTGATATTGTAGATTTGTAAAACATGTATAACCATCAACATCATGATGATTTCTATTTGTTTTTATTTGAATGTATATATTCACTTATATTTATTAAAAAGTGATGATCTACTAAAACTTTAAGCATTATATAGTGTCTTAACATATATTATTAACTAAAACTTGTAGCATTATATAGTACAAAATGTATCTAAAAATTTATTATCAACTTAGCATTAGTTAGTTTTTTGAAAGTAATTATCTACTAAAACTTGTAGCAATAGAAAGTATTAGTAGTGCACATCTTTGCCAATGATCTGTGTATTTTTGTCTTTTCAGCAGAGAGAAAGAGTAGCGTCTGTGGTACATAGACAAGAAACTGTAGACTGCTTGAAGAAATTCAATGCCCGAAGGAAACTTAAGGTATTTATTATAATTTAATACCTGTCTAAACCAAACCAAATCATACATAAATTAGAAAAAATCTTTAATTGTGCCAAGACATACAGTGAATATTCTCTAATAATTTAACCTGTGTAAACTGAACACCTGTATAGTCCTTAAAAAAATTGAAAGTGTTTCACTGTACTGTAAACCAAGTTCCAATATTTTCTCTCTGCATATGCCTCGGGAAATTTTTGTTGTTAATTGAATACAATGTTACATTTTTTTAACATGCAGACGTTTTTTGCTTTCCCAGGAAAAGATTAGTTCTAATCAAGAGAAAGGATACATGGTTTATTTGTCAATTGTTTATAGTAGTTCTATTTATGTTTCTCTTGAATAGCTATCCCTTGTCTGTTGTTAAGAAAGTGGTTTAATTTAGTATCTGTAGATGTAGTTTGGACCATTGATGATAGAGAATTATGATTCGTTTTCATTAAACCTTGTTTTCTGCATTGATAGGACAGGTGAATGCCATAATAGATCATCATTAGATTTGTTAAAGTAATATCTTGTCAACAATCTATCCTCAATTAAGTAGCAGGTGCTTTATAAATGCTTTATATAGATATATGTTTATATCAGGTATATAACTGGCATGGATTGATACATTGAGGGATTTAAATAGGAAATATGTGTTTCATTATTGTTAATCTTAAGTCAAAGCTTACAACAACACTACTTTTTGCTGGGAAATATTAATCAAGGGTACATTTGTTGAAATGTTGTGGATTCAATTAATTTGATGGATCTCACTTATAATTTATGGCATCAAGTATAGTTGTTTTATCATTTCTTGCTAACAAAACAACCACATATTTACAAGGATCACTTTGTGCTATGAATTACATGAAAACTTTTACCATTGCAAACAACAATGAATCAGTACTATTACTATACAGATTTATGTTTTAATAAGAAAACTATATATTTGTTAACTAATTTTCTTGTAATTTTTCATTTGATAAAAACTAAATTTAACTGACCAGATGCATGAAAGCAACTCTCAAACCAGTGCTAGGGATTTTCTTGAACTAGTAATGGGTTAAAGGCCTCAGTGTTACTTTGAGATGAACACCAGCAATAAAAGCATTGTTCTTTTGCCTTTAGTTTTTTTATGATCATGAAGTGATCATGTGTCATGAATTGATACACCTCATTCTTTCTTTTTCATTTGGTTAATTTTTTTTGGTTTTAGCTGAAAGCCAACTTACTGCTTAAATTTGTGGGAAGAAATGTTTGGAGAATGAAAAAAAGAAGTGTTTTTGTTTTGTTCATGCTATATTAATTGATGCACAGTATCACACAGCTGTTTTAAATATTTACCTTAAAATCTTACTTAATTTTGTATTTTAGGGAGCTATCCTGACCACAATGCTGGCCACAAGGAATTTTTCCAGTAAGTAAACCACTGTGGATTAATAATGTTGTCCCTGTATTTGACATTGTCACAGCCATGTGTATTTCTAGCACTTCTCTGTATAAGCCACACACCTTTAATTACAACCAAGTGTGTCAGTCTTCCATTTGAAATTGAGATATATGTAATGGAAAATGTAAAGATATTATTTTTTGTAAATGTGATTTCCTGTTGGATAACTGAGATATTGTCTTGGAGTTGTGATTTATTTTTGCTTTACTGGGATATTATCTGGATTTGTGATTTATTATTGGTTTACTGAGATATTATTTTGGAGGTGTGATTTACTGTTTGTTTACCGAGATTTTATTTTGGAGTTGAGAGATTTATTGTCAGTTTACTGAAATTTTATTATGGAGTTGAGATTTATTGTTGGATAACTGAGATTTTATTTTTGGAGTTGAGATTTATTGTTGGTTTACTGAGATTTTATTATGGAGTTGAGATTTATTGTTGGTTTACTGAGATTTTATCATGGAGTTGAGATTTATTGTTGGTATACTGAGATATTATTATGGAGTTACGATTTATTATTGGTTTACTGAGATTTTATTATGGAGTTGCGATTTATTATCGGTTTACTGAGATATTATTTTAAAGTTGAGATTAATTGTTGGTTTACTGAGATATTATTATGGAGTTGCAATTTATTGTTGGTTTACTGAGATATTATTTTAAAGTTGAGATTAATTGTTGGTTTACTTCAATAGATATTGTTTTGAGTTGTGATTTATTGTTGGTTTACTGAGATTTTGCTTTGTAGTTGTGATTTATAATATGGAGGCCTTTCAGTGACTTATAGTTGTTTTAAAACTACTATGTCATTTGGTCTGTGGTGGATAGTTGTCTCATTGCCAATCATACCACATCTTATTTTTATATTAAAATTTACTTTTGGTTTACTGAGATTTTATCATGGAGTTGCTATTAATTGTTGGTTTACTGAAATATTATTTTGGAGTTGTGATCAATAGTTGGTTTACTGAGATAGTATTATTGAGATGTGATTACTCTTGAATGTTTTCTTTACACAATCTATTAAAAGTTGTTGTTAAAAGTTCTTTGTAATCTCAAATATTTTGATGTGTGTATTAAGATATAAATGATATTATAGAAATTTACAAAATGTACGGAAAGACATAATGTTTGTTATTAGTTTTTATAGGCCTATTAAATTAATTGGACTTTTGATAGACTGACAACTTCTGAATGATATTAAAGCTTTGCATTATGATCTACAATATTTGGTATGGGTACTTTGGCCAGATTAACACTTACTATGAAATTCAGGGCATTCATCTGCCACTTCATTTTATGTGAAGTTTTTATCAACAATATCTCAATTGAATTGAAAACCAATGCTAATAAAATGTGCTTCTTAAAGATAATGATTATGTGGAAAATTGCTTTGTAAGCCCTCCCATCAGTACAGATCTTGAAAATTTTGTTAAAATTTATAAGAAAGGTTCCTGGATTGATTTTGAAAAGTTATACCCTTGGAAATGTAAAAAAATACTATCAAGGTTTTAGGTATAATGATAAAATTTATTTGAAAGGCTTATATTCACACTATCTTAATTGTCCCCTGTGTGCTGCACTACTTCTGTCCATTCTTTGGAAACACGTCAATTCTTCGAGTACATTTGACAGAAAGCTTTCATACTTTGTAGGATTGTTTTCTCGTCATATTTCACTGACAGGGATATATGGTCAGTTAAATTTTATAATTTTTATGAGAGTTGTTGAAATTGACAATTTTTTATGCCCCTGCCGTTGCGGAGGGGGCATTAAGTTTTACCCTTGTCCGTCCGTACGTCCCAAACTTGGTTTCCGTTCAACTAACTTTAGTTTGCCTCAACCAAATGTTATGAAACTTATACAAAATGCTTATAACCACAAAACAAAGATCAATTTTGAATTTTGGTGGTGTCACTTTTACCTTTCTAGAGTTATGCCCCTTTACCAATTGAAAAATCGCTGAATTTTTCGTTTCCATTCTCTAACTTAAGTTTGCCTCAACCAAATGTTATGAAACTTGTACACAATACTTATTACTACAAAACTCAGATCAAATACAAATTTGGGTAGCGTCACTTTTACCATTCTTTAGTTTTTGTCCCTTTATAACTTTATATGATATGCAAGCAAGGGCATCATCTGTGTCCCATGGACACATTCCCTATTTATTTGTAGTAATGTTACAATGACATCTTGTGAAAGCAACTCCTCTGAGTACCATTACAGAAAGCTCTGATACTTGGAACTATTGTTTGCCATCATGTGTAGTTGATCACATTATACCACCGTTTTTATTTTACTATTTTTATTGGAGTTATGGGACTTTGACCATTTTGTTGGAGTATTGTAACAATAACTTCTTTTGGATGCTACTCCTCTGAGAATGTCTTACAGAAAGCTCTCATACTTTGTAGGATTGTTTGCCATCGTGTAGTTGACCATATTGTACCATCATTTTGAAGATATTAATGAAACTTAACATACTTGTAGTACACTTCCCGAGGATGTTCATCAAAAGTAAAATTCTTGTCCTACATGTCAAAGGCGACATAATCAAACTTACTTTCAAAGACTCTTGTAAGGGCAGCTTCTCCTGAAAGGGGTAGACTGATATTAAAGAAACTTTACACAGTAGTAGAACATTACCTAAATATAATCCTTCCCCCACATGTTAAAGAGGAGATCCTTCTTCCACATGTTATAGAGGAGATCCTTCTTCCACATGTTGTAGAGGAGATCCTTCTTCTCCCACATGTTATAGAGGAGATCCTTCTTCTCCCACATGTTATAGAGGAGATCCTTCTTCTCCCACATGTTATAGAGGAGATCCTTCTCCCACATGTTAAAGATGAGATCCTTCTCCCACATGTTATAGAGGAGATCTTCTCCCACATGTTATAGAGGAGATCCTTCTCCCACATGTTATAGACGAGATCCTTCTTCTCCCACATGTTATAGAGGAGATCCTTCTCCCACATGTTATAGAGGAGATCCTTCTTCTCCCACATGTTATAGAGGAGATCCTTCTTCTCCCACATGTTATAGAGGAGATCCTTCTTCTCCCACATGTTATAGAGGAGATCTTCTCCCACATGTTATAGAGGAGATCCTTCTTCTCCCACATGTTATAGAGGAGATCCTTCTCCCACATGTTATAGAGGAGATCCTTCTCCCACATGTTATAGAGGAGATCCTTCTTCCACATGTTATAGAGGAGATCCTTCTCCCACATGTTATAGAGGAGATCCTTCTCCCACATGTTGAAACTTTACACAGTTGAAGAACACTTGAGTGGTGGCTATTCCCTAAATAATATTCATTCTTTATCTGTAAATCAGCCTGCAATTGAAAGTTAACCTTTATGTGGATCTGAAATTTGGTTTTTTATCTGGCCTGCAATACGGCCAATTATTGCAGAATTCAAGACATAGGGAATCTGGTACCAGGCAGTTTCTTTTTATGCCTCCGTCGTAGTGGAGGGGATATTAAGTTTTACCCTTGTCCGTTTGCTCGTATATCCCAAAGTTGGTTTCCGTTCTCTAAATTTAGTTTGCCTCAACCAAATGTTATGAAACTTATACAAAATGCTTATTACCACAAAACACAGATCAAGTTTGAATTTTGGGGGCGTCACTTTAACGGTTCTAGAGTTATGCCCCTTTACAAATAGAAAAATTGCTGAATTTTTCATTTCCGTTCTCTAACTTTAGTTTGCCTCAAGTAATTGTTATGAAACTTATACAAAATGCTTATTACCACAAAACACAGATCAGGTTTTGAATTTTGGTGACGTCACTTTAACCGTTCTAGAGTTATGCCCCTTTACAAATGGAAAAATTGCTGAATTTTTAGTTTCTGTTCTCTAACTAAGGTTAGCCTCTACCAAATGTTATGAAACTTATACACAATGCTTATTAACACAAAATACAGATCAAGTTTAAATTATGGTGGTGTCACTTTTACTGTTCTAGAGTTATGCCCCTTTACAAATGAAAAATTGCTGAATTTTTCGTTTCCGTTCTCTAACTTAAGTTTGCCTCAACCAAATGTTATGAAACATGTACATAATACTTATTACCACAAAACTCAGATCAAGTACAAATTTGGGTAGCATCACTTTTACTGTTCTTCAGTTATTACCCTTTATAAATTTATATGAGATGCAAGCCGGGGCGTCATCTGTGTGCCATGGACACATTCCCCATTTATCTATTTTAGAAGTAAGAAGAGCTGAATATCAATATCTTTAATACATATGCCTTATGTTCTCAAGGTCAATTTGGCATTTGTCTGTTGTTCTTGACCTCATTTACGTGGTTCAATATCTGCATGAAAAAGTTAATAGGTTTTTTTTATCACTTGATTTTTTCAGCTATTGAAAGTAATAGGTCAACTATATTTGTTTCATATAATTATCACATTGGTCATCATTAGGTTTTCATAATTTGGTCAAAATTACTTGCATACTTACTTACTTACTTGCATATATACTAAATCCTCTTAATACATGTTTCCACGTGAGGCCATCTGCTAGGGAAACCACATCAGTCAATATTAGTGATAGATAAATTATATTTTGCTAATATAATGATTGTAAGGTGTACATGTCTGTCAGACAGAAACCATCTGACCTTGACCTCATATTCATGTTACTTGGATTATCATTATAGCGTAGTGAGTAGATTAGTTTCTCAGTTACTGTAAGTAATAGGTCAACTTCATATCATTTTGTATAGAATTATTGTAAGAGGTACATGTCTGTCAGGGTTTATTTGACCGTGACCTCATTTCATGGTTCATAGATCAAGTTTTCATGATTGCATCATATTTTTCATTGTGAAATGTGAAAACTATATTTGTTGTATAGAATCACAGTGAGGTGTACATGTTTGTCAGAGTTCATCTGACCTTGACCATATTTTTATTGATGATTATGAAATTAAGTTTTTGTGCTACCTGTA